CGTACGCCGAGGCGAGGCAAGGCGAGACGAACCGACTCGAGTCGAATCGAGTCAAGTCGAATTGCACGCGCATTATCCTGCCGAAGCTTCCATGTAAATTTTATCGACCAAACGATGAACAAGTTGCAAGTTTAAGATTCGCGAGCGGAACGATCCAGCTTGGCGGAGGTCTTCTGAGTCGACTCTAGAAGGTGATTGCGTGACGCGTGCAGGATACGTATTTATACGCATTCGTGCTATATAATTCGCGTAATGGCTGGATGCAAGAGTAACACGATATCCAAAGCCGTCCTCCACATGCACGGTTAACGGTTTAGCGTCCCTACTCTGTTAACTAGTTTGCACTAGTTTAATCCTAGATGAGACATCGACGACGGACGCAGATAGAATACACGCGAGAAGGAAGTTGATATTTTAGACGCATTTCGATTATCTCACCGTTCGCGTGGAGCATAAGGTGGTTAGTTGCGGTTGGGTAGCGGGAGGAAATCGAAAAGAGAATAGAAAATCGCATGGAGACGTAGGGTCGTTGTCGTTGGAAAGTGGTCGATTTGCTGGTCGTTGAATCGATGGATGGATCGATCGGGATCAGGCTAGGTGCGTACATACGACGTTCGAGGCGATCTCTGTTTCTGAAAGAACCAGGGCAGCTGGTGTGTGGTGCAGGTATGCACAAACGTAGCGTGTACTCGCGACGGACACGTTTACGGAACATATTATCTGGTTACACGTACGTACATAGGTACGGTCGACTACGTAGGTACGAGTACGTAGGTGCACCCTCACAGTGCTCGCACACCACGGCTTTCAACGGCCGCGACCAGCAGACTGTAAATATCGTTATGCACGTTCTCCTGGCCAGAGAGGCCGCTATCGCCGCTATATATTGTCAGCAATTATTGCTACAAGAGATTATTTGTTGGTAGGCCAAGGCAGATAAATCAATAACCACGGTTGGGAGGCACGGTGAACGTCGAGGGAACGAGGGATGGATCATGCTAGACGACAGCCCCTTATCGTGGTCATTACCGTCGTTGTCGTTGTAATTTTTATCCTCGAAACGAACGCCCATTTCGATCGAACGTGTCGTTCGTTGTTTTTACGATGACGGTCGATAGGATCTTGCCATCGCGCAGAATCCTCTTCTTAGGACGAATAGACCTCGACGATTACTGTAAAATCGGTGATAGATGAGACGATTTTTGGACGTGCGTCTGCTCTTGGACTAGATACGACGGTAAATTCGCAGGGCGTGCGAGAAAGCAGGATCGCGATGCAGTAGCCGCTCGAATAAATGTATAGTTGTGCTCCGGAATCGACGAGAAGCCCGTACTCGCAAAAACTGGCAGATGCGTGCGACGTTTTTAAAGCAGCCCAACTGTATACGTTCACGAGAGGACAGAGAGATAGACAGAGATATTAATACATAGATAGATAAATAGGTGTGTGTATATATATATATATATATATATATATACACTTGGCAAGATATATACAGGGTGATTGGTAACTGGTGGTAGAAGCGGTAAGGGGGTGATTCTACGCGAAAAACAAGTCGAAAACATAGAATAAAAATTTTTCGTTTGAGGCTTTGTTTTCGAGCAAATCGAGTTTGAATTTTCGCTCGGTACGCGTGCGGTACGTTATAACAGATCTCACTGTAAATCGTTGTCTCGATGGAAAAATTTAAAAAAATTAAAAAAACATTTTTATTCTATATTTTCGACTTCTTTTTTCGCTTAGAATCATATCTTATATGTAGTATCTGTATATGTAGTATCTTAATAATATAGAGTAAGGATAAGAAAGGATGTTCTATTTGAAGCGAAGTTTAGTTTTATTTTAACAAGCAATACCCAATGCAAAAACTGACTACAATATCTTTGTATTTCTTATTTTAACAGTCAGCTCACAACTTCTGTCTTCCCAGGTCAAAAAATGCTGACCTTCAACCCTCGCACCCTTCTCCCACTCTTTTACTCATTTAGCTTCGACGTCACCAAGGCATACACTCTTCCTTACACTATCTCTTTCTTTCTCTCTTCCCCAGATCTCTTACGATTCTTAGTTTATGCCTTAAATTTACAACTTATACTATCCCGAGAAAACTCGAACTTAAATATATGATAGACCAAGCGTATACCCCCCTTTTCTTTTGATATTACATATATATATATACAGGGTGGTTAGTAACTGGTGGTACAAGCGGAAAGGGGGTGATTCTACGCGAAAAAAGAAGTCGAAAATATAGAATAAACATTTTTTTTTAATTTTTCCATGGAGACAACGATTTACAGTGAGATCCGTTATAACGTACCGCACGCGTACCGGGCGAAAATTTAAAGTCGATTTTCTCGAAAGCAAAGCCTCAAACGAAAAATTTTTATTTTTCGATCGACAAGCCTTGCGATCGGAAAATTTTTGTCGTTTCTATCTTGTCAAGGCCATTCTGTCGTTCGCGTAGTCTATAATCGGTCAAAAGTGCTTCTGTTAACAGCGAACAGCTCACAAGGGAAGCGTGGACGCCGCTTTGTAGGGACACGGCTGACGTCGGCTTACACGCGGGTTCACCTCTCCTTTAAAAATCCGCCAGGCTATCGGATCTCTCGACCTTGAAGAATGAAACAAGTTGTAACACGGGAAAAGGGAGGCGCGGAGACGGCTGCGGTGCTTGCAGCTACTCGAGCAGCCTGTGGCAACCTCCACGATCTTTACTCTATAAAAGCTTAATTGTTTCTCACTTTACGGTTCGATCCTCTTGATCTCGCCTGCTATTATACGCGTTCTCTTCCATTATTTTTCCTACCTCTTTTCCTTCTCGTGCACATCTCGAGATATCTTTTTTCTTTACACTCGCTTTCTTCTTCGCCTATCTTAGGTTGCGACCGATATTTTTCGACACAGTCCTCTTACGACTTTCTTTATCTGGAAATGTTTGATAGCGAATGTTCGATGCTTTACAATTTTTCCTGGATAGAAATCACGCGGTTCTTTGACCGTTTCAGCATCTACCTACTCGTTTCGCGTCAACTTTTTATTCCATTCGTTGACTTGGTCGGCGGCGTAATCGCATGCAACGTGACACGTGCAGCCATCGCGTATAATCACTCTCGCGTAGCTGTAACTTCTTTGACGTCGACGATGACGATGTTCTTTCTACTTTGACGTCGTATCCTCTATTATCGCGTGGATTCGACGTCGCGCCTCCTATCAGTTTCGTTCTTTGACTTGACGTAACTCGATGTAGTTCTTTTGCGGTACCACTCTTTTTCCAACGTTGCGAGGGACAGCGGCGTTTCCAACGTTCCGGCGCGCGTTTATTCTCGTCCCGCGATTCACCCGTCCTTTCACTTTTTTCTGCCGGTGTCGTATCACGGTATCGGCATATTGTACGAGCGGGATATACTTGAAGCGGGTACCTACTTGAAAAATGTTTACGTTCCGTTTCTCTACCCGTTGATCGGGACGACAATACGCGTAACACACGCTACGTATACGCGTATATAGGAGCATTCGCAAACCTGTCTTCGAGATATTACCCCGTTGATTTCTTCGGCTACTCGAAAATCCATTGGCTCCTTTGAAGAATATTCCCAAGGTTCAAAAATAAATAAAAGGAAAGAGTGGACCAGTGGCGCGCCCTTGAAAGCAACGGACGAACATACATAAATACACCCACCATCCTAGAATCCGAGGTCTAGGCATCTAGTCGAAACCTAGACCTAGCTGCAACAGAGAATACGTAGAGAAGTCGAAGGCGGTGGGACAGGGGCCAGGGAGGAGTTGAAGCAGTGAAGAGAGCACGGTTATTACAGAACGTTGTAAAATTATGGATCGTTAAGCGGCTTTACGAGTTTGTTCTGTTCGCCCAGGCATCTTGGTTCTTTCTCTTGTCTTTCTTTTTCCTCTCGCCACTCCGTTCTCGTTTTTCTTCCTCGGTTATTCTCTCTGTTCCATCGGAGAGAAGCCGCATTTAGCTCCACGCGAATTCTTGGACGGACAGTCGCGGAATAGCTTATCTCGAGCGTGACCGGTGTTGTGGGCCCATGGAACACCTCGTTTCGATCTTTTCCATCGATCGAGAAAGGAAGCGAGATACGATCAAGAGCGCATACCGTGCGTCGTCCTTCCATCCTATTTAGACTTTGTCTCGACTCGACACCAACGGTAAGATAGCAGCTTCCTATCTAACGAATTTTACTCTACGTTCGCGAATCATCGACGCGTTCGCAACCACCATCCATCCTTTACTTTTTCTCGTATTATCCTGCATTTCGCGGGAGATAGCGCTATTTCTGGGCGCATCCACGCGTCACGTATCGTCATGTATCGCCATCCTTTCCGTTACTGCTCATAAAAAGAAGACGAAAAGACGAACGATATACACACGCTAGATCAGAAACGTGGAAAACCTTGAAATAGCTATGATTCCGAGATACCGGGAACGCGCGGAGTCGGGAACAAGAGTTCGCAGACAGTTCGAAAAAGCTCGCCTGAAGGCTCGTCATTAGTCTGTGCGATCTGCCGTATCGCCGAGTCGCTTAGAAGTATGACGAAGAGGAAGAAGGGTGAAGGACGAAGTAAAAGAGGCTGATGAAAATGTAGCAGAAAATGGCAAGCATAGTAGAAGGAAGAACGAGCAAGACCGGATACGTATGTCGCGAATGATAGAGGGAGAGAGAGAGAGAAAGAAGCATCGGATAGGAAAAAGGAGGGAGCGAGAAAGAAAAAGGACGAAAGCTACGAAGATGGTCGATATCGTTGAAAACGCGTAAAGCTGTTTTGTAGCGAACGACGAACGAAACAAAAGGCATACGGATATCATTGCACCGATTCGCTTGGCTATAATACAAGAGCTGTTCGCGGTGGACTTGCCTCGTTCCTTCTCTCTTCCTCGTAATATCCATCTTCTGTTCACAACCACCAAACCATTTCTCTACCATCTTCTTCTTTTCCATCTTCTTTTCCTTCTCCTCTTCTCTGTTTCTTTTTCTCGGAAGCGAAACCGTGGCTGCAAGGTAATTGTAGTGATTATACCTTCCTCTCTCTCTCCGACTGTCTATCCGCCTATCTACCGCTACGTTCCTTTTTCTTCTCTTCGTTCCGAAAGCCATCGACGTTCTTGCACTTTGCTCCGTGCCGTGTCTCTTTCCGATGAATCGGAAAAAATTGCTTTAGAGGCTTGTAAATTCGCCTAGAAAACGCGCTTCTGCTTGCTCGTTGTTTCGCCACCGTTCGATGCCTTGTTGCGCTCGGCCATTCGGCTATGTCGCGTTCCCTTCGTGACCGCGACAAGACATCGACGTCGTTGTCATCTCGTTTGACGAAATCGTTGTCTCCGTTTGAATTGTTTCTCGATAACGATCGTGGATCTGGAAGCGTATCTGTTTCGCGAAAGGTTTCGCGAAAGTACTCGCAGCCGAGACAGGCAGTAGAGCTACCGCTGAGATTTCAGCGGCATGCTGCGCAAGCAAGAGCAGAGTTCTAGCGGCGGCGGTGGCGGTAGCGGTGGTGGTGGAGGAGGTGGAGGTAGAGAAACTTGGGCGAAGGCGTTCGAGATGCCCGCGAAAGAGACGGCGGCCAGCCCCTTGTGGTGTGTCCGTCAGCCGAGCTATATATCACGTGTAAACGACTCGGGTATTAGCATATCTGTATCTGTCCGGTGGTTGTCCCTGCCAACTCTACCGGGGTGAACGTCTCCTCTACCCACCTCCACCTCCGGACCCACCAGGCTCCCTACCCGAACCTTTGCTCGGTTACTCGTCCCCGTACGCTTCAGATGGACCAAGCAGATTCCGGGGACCAACGAAGTCGACTCCGCTCAAGGAGAGGAGACGCGATGACGAGGACACGCGAAAACGCACTGTTCTCTCGCTTGCTGGTAACAGGGAGGCGGGGAAGCCGCGCGAGAGTTTGGAGAACGAGCGGCCACCGAAAGGGAAGGACAGATAGCGGCCGAAGGATCGGTATCAGCCTCTTCTTCTCGAAACTTTAATTGGGAGCTTACACGACGCGCGCACTACGTACTTACATATACGCGAAGAAAGAACGCATCCCTCTTCGACGCAACTTACGGTGCTCGTTACGATCGCTACCAGCAACGAAATTCCCTGCGTGCCCGATCGCTGCCGAATTATTTGCCTATACGTCGACCGCTGCCGCCGTCGCCACCATCACCACTACCACCGTTTCTTCTCCTGGAGAACCGAGCAATCACCGCGGATAAGGACAGGACGAGTAGACGACGACAACGAAGACGACAACGACGACGACGACGCGCCATCGACTCTCGTCTCCCAAACGGGAGGAGCGATGGAAAATAAGAAAAAGGTCGGATGAAACGTTCGAGAAAAGAAAAGAGGATGGATTGCGGAGAATGACGCGAGAGACGGAGAAACGAACACGGAGAGCGAGAGAAAAAGAAAAAAGATGGATGGACGTTGGAAAGGGAAAGAAGTAGAGGCTGCGCCATCGTAATAGCGGCCGAATCATTTTGCCGGGGTATTTTTCAAAATGACTGGGCACTGTAGGAGCGGTATGCCGTGTTCTCTCGCGATTCGTCTGGGGCTTCACCGCTCCGAATTGCCCACAGATGCGAGGGAAAGAGGAAGAAATGGGAGAAGAAAGAGGGCGAAGGTGGCAAGTAGAAGAGGCGCGCAGCAATGTACGCGATACATTCTGCACCGACAACGAGAGAGAAAGAGAGAGAGAGAGAGGGAGAGAGAGAGAGAGAGATTGAATGAGAGAGAGAGAGAGAGAGAGATTGAATGAGAGAGAGAGAGAGAGAGAGATTGAATGAGAGAGAGAGAGAGAGAGAGATTGAATGAGAGAGAGAGAGAGAGAGAGATTGAATGAGAGAGAGAGAGAGAGAGAGATTGAATGAGAGAGAGAGAGAGAGAGAGATTGAATGAGAGAGAGAGAGAGAGAGAGATTGAATGAGAGAGAGAGAGAGAGAGAGATTGAATGAGAGAGAGAGAGAGAGAGAGATTGAATGAGAGAGAGAGAGAGAGAGAGATTGAATGAGAGAGAGAGAGAGAGAGAGATTGAATGAGAGAGAGAGAGAGAGAGAGAGAGAGAGAGGGAGAGAGAGAGAGAGAGATTGAATGAGAGAGAGAGAGAGAGAGAGATTGAATGAGAGAGAGAGAGGGGGGGGATGGAACAGAGCGAGCAAGGAAGAAAGCCATACGGTATCACGGCTGCGCCAATGAGATAAAAGAAATGAATCCGGGCGAAAGGGAGGATCGAAGGAGATTGAGAGTATAAAAGAGTGACGAAGGAAGAACGAAAGAGAGAGAAAGATGGGCTACTGCATGGGCCACCGGTAAGAAAGCAGTTCGGTAATTGCGTACACCAACCGTTTCCACCGCGGGGATGAATATTTCGATTTCTCGCAAAGTCTCAGCCTGTTCTTCGAATCACCGGCAGCCGCGTGACTCGCTTCCGAAAGCAGAAATCCCGGTATCGAAAGAATTCGTGCCACTGAAAACGGCACGCGATTCTCCTTTCCATCTCGGTAGATACGTTTTCTTCTCCTTTCATTCTCTTCTTCTACTCGAAATGTTGCCACCCGTCCCTTCCTCCGGGCTATCGATTCCAATAAGACACAGATTTCGATCGCGAATCTGCCCCGGACGACGAATTCGCCGCAAACCTACCTTCGAAACGAACACTCGCCACTCGCTGCCGACGCACCAACGGAATTCAGACGTCTTTGTCTTTCTGCGTGTAGCCGAAAACTTGGTCGAGAATTCGAACGAGCTGCGTATACCATTCGCCTAGTCAGACCCAGACGGTATAATTTGTGGCGGATCGTGTCATTTTGAAACTCCCTGTGACGCCAACCTCCCACTTTTCGAGGTACTATCGCGCGTTCCTCTCTCTACCTGAAAGGTTCCCGCGTTTCGAT